AGATCGTGAAGTGAGCGATTTCGAGCACCGACTCCGAGTATGGATTAGCTTGCAACGCACCTCGGCAGCACGGAGCAGCATCGGACGGGAGGAGGATGAATGCGCATGCACAGATGTGGGAAGGCAGGAAATAGTGACATTTCCGCAAGGGAACGAAGGCGAAGAGGTGAGAGATGCAGCCCAGGCAGCGGCATGTAGGCCATTTTATACGACGGACGGTGTGGATCACGGAGAGCCTCTGAACACGGATAACTTGAGAGCGAGCGGCACGGTAACTGCAGGATCTCGGAACAATACACGCACCGTGGGCCGCAGGGTCCCGTGGCGTTGCTCTTGCACATTAGCCCTCGTCACGGCCTTTGAAAGCACAATGCCGTATGCCACACAACACACCAGTCAAGCGCGTATACAATCGATTGCAGGTGAGGTCACTTTCCTTACATTACGTAACTTACAGACCGCCTCGAGATTACAATCCTGACCCGCGCCTCCTTGCTTTCCTGTTCACTAGCCCACCATCTCTTTCACTACTAGATGAGGAATCCGTTCCGCGGCAGATAGCCGAGTCACCGAGGGCGCTAGACCGACATCACCATAGATCCGGCGTATACGATGAGGTATCTCTCGTGATTAACGCCACCAGCCTTGCTGAAAGCTGCGACTATATGCGCGAAGATTTCATCCATTGACCATCATTAGATTCCTTGCATCCAGCTGCGTAAAGGGTACCATGGGTGATATGCAATGTTATGGAGAAAAGACGTCTAAGATCAGAGGCGGAAGGGGAAAGGTAGTCCCAGAGGAGGAATTGAAATAGCCTAGTTGTTCTAGACGATTGCATCGATGTTCGAGAGACATGGCGAAGATGGGACAGAGGGAAGACGTGCAGGTTGTAAAAGAGGCGCAAGCGTTGCGATATGAGGAGGGGGCGGTTCCAGATTCACGAGCACGTTCAACTCATCCAGGGCCTCGAGAGGCACAAAAGAAGTGACAACTACTTGTGCGGGCGAGCCAAGTGAAATCGTAGAATTTATGTCAACTTGCGTCTTGCGCTCAATGTACGAGTGCGTGCCAAGGCCCAGGTCGAGCTGCCTAAGTGAATGCATTCAGCTTCCAGTAACGCATGAAGCAGCTAGATAGACACTCACAAGGCATTACTGGGCGTATGAGTCAAGCATTGTTCGGTAGCATGACTCTCTATAGACTCGAGACGGCCTCCATACTCATCCCGCCGGTCAGAGTGAAGGCCAAGACGCAATGTGTAATCGCGTCGAATAGGGGGGGCGGCGGTGATGATGTAGTGGTCTTCCTTGGAAAGAGGCTGCGCAGGAGAAGGTTCCGAATCACGGACCAAGGGTATCTCAAATTTGTTGTTCGGCGAGCAGTCGGCTGCTACGAGGTCGGCGTTGTGGATCATGGCGGGCGAGGGGAGACGAGGGCGGCGGATGCGGATAAAGAATGTTCATGACAGAAAACAAGGATGCTTTTATAGGCTGCGGAAGCGGAGTCCTTGTGGTACGAATGCGCAGAGCCGGGCGTTCAGGATGGCGGGGGGTGGGAGAAGAACGTTTCGCTATAAGAACCATGCTGCTCGCTAGTCCTTTTTTGGATCGTGAAGAGGCCAGCGCCTGTCCTAAAACGGCCGTCGTCTCCCTGCTGCCAATTGGAGTCGCTGTACGAAAATTCTTGATCGGTGACATTGTTCACTCACAAGTGCCTACGTCTTTTCAATTTTCTCAAACAGCTTCGGCTATCGCCACTGAAGCTGAAGGCCCGAAGTCCTGCCAGACTATTCTGGAATTTCAAGCGCGATGATACCTTTTAGCGCTAGCCTTCGTCTGCTCAACCTTCGTTTTTGCCCCATGCTCGTTCTCACTCGCTGACCCCCCCGAATTCATATTTAGTTCAGTCTCATTTCACATTCTCCAAGGGTTGGAGTGAAAATTCTGCCCACATGGCCCTCGACTACCTACTACTGGCAGGGTTGCAAGGAGGACCCCACAAGGATTTAAGATCTCGCGGCTTCTCCCGCAGCGTCCCCCAGATTGCGCGCCGACTTGAATCTGGCTACGTCGTGTTGCCCTTTGAAATTGTAGTATCTGTATCTACGAGTGTGTCCGGATACAAATACTATGTCTGGAATGGCAAAATTCTCGGAAGACATTCACGTTGCGATTGCACAAATGAGAGATGTGTGATCTGGGAGATTGTGAGATCGCGCAGTCAGGTAACAGCGACTCTATAAGTCAACTCGCAGTGCACCTAACATGAAGCGATCCTACAAGGTGTCCAACCCGTGGACGGCTGACATCGCACAAAGATAGATGGAGGGACTGATCAACTTAGTAGCGGGGGTGACCAAAATGCAATGGATAGTGTCTGTCTTATACGAAACGAGAAGGTTATGAGAACTCGTGGGATCATCAATTCAATTTGCATAGGAGTTACAGTCATGCGCAATTCCATGCATTCGACAAAATGCACTCGACTGTTCCTTGGACTCGATGCTCAAGGTCGACGAGCATCTGGAGGAAAAGTGCATATAATGAGCACTAGGAAAGCTAGGGGCAACATCTGAAGTAAACAGCAATACACAAATACAAGAAAGTAAGAAAGGATCGGTAGCTCTTTGCAAGTTGGTGGCTGAATATAAATAATGAAAGATGCTGGCGTAAAGAAGTAGGCAGCATCAGGTAGTGACGATTGGAAGCGTCTGTTCACTCAAAGGAGGTTTATCAATATAAATGCCCATCAAGAGCTACAGAACAATTCACTGCAAATTGCAAATAAATGATACGCCATCAAAGTTGGCTTAGCCTTTCAGCTAACCTGATATCCCCCCGACATCGGCCCTTCCTCGTTTTCAGATGACGCACGAGTGCATCCTTCCTGCTGAAGTAGTGTTGACATCCCCCCGCCATCAGGAGTCCTTTGTATTCGTAGACGTCGTGAAGGTCCTTCCCGCAAGCACGGTCCGGCGGAACAGGTAAGCCACAGCACATCCATTCCTCTCGACTAGTTGGTGCTCGGTGTATGTTTAAATGTCGCTTGAGGTCGCCCCTGTGGCCATCTGACGGTGCATACCCGCAACTAGGAACCGGACAGACCAGGGCGTCGACAGCTACGGCCAGTGCTATCATAAAGTCTGAGTCCGATAAGCGAATTTGACTATTTCGAAGGCGCCGTGTGGAAATGGACGTAGGAAGTTTCGATAGAGAGGGAGTAGAGGAGAATGGAGAAGAGTACGGGCTAACGCGTGCCGGAGATCGTCGCACTGGTGTAGAGGTATCATTGATGATCTGTCGAGCTGGAGCTTGTGCATAAGCACCAGGGATTATGCTACATGAGAATGGGGCAGGCAACTCCTTGCAAGGGAGAACCGGAGCGTAGGTGATTGGTATAGTATTCTCTGGTGTCAGGAATCCGTCTAGACCCAGTGGATCGTTTAAGACAGGAAAAGGGGAGTCGCAGTCGACCACATTCTCAACGCCAGGGTCGAGAGCCACGTATGAACTAAAGTCGAGGATGTAACCGTGTACACCTAAGTCAAGATGCCTGTATAACACAGTTGATTCAGATCCAACTGTTTGATAGATAATGTTTCACATAAATAGAACTTACAAACTATTCTCCCGTGACCGCATTGTGAGAACATTCGCAGCACTGACGAGATCTGATTCATACAGAGTGCCTTCGGCACCATCGAGGTTCTCCACAGAAGCAAAATCCTCGCTAGGTAGCAGAGGGAGGCTTTCATGTATGCTTGAGTGATTACGGGCAATTGAAGGGACACACGGTCCATCTGCATGGGACGAATAATGGCTGGGTGGAGATTGAAGATTGTTAAGACTGAGAGCATCGAAACAGTTGTCCAAGTGGAGGAAGGAGAACTCGTTGAACATCTTCAAGGGTGCAACTTCGAGAGAGTGAAGGGTAACGCGAAACGAGATCCATGGGAGAAATCAGGGGCGCTTTTATACGCTGGAGAGCCATAGCCATTGTAGAGTCGAGGTGCATAAGCCGGGCGTCCTGGTGGCGGGGGTGGGAGAAGAACGTTTCGCTATAAGAACCATGCTGCTCGCTAGTCCCTTTTTAGAACGTGAAGAGGCGGGCGCCTGTCCCAAGATGGCAGGTCGCATCAATCACGAGACCGCGTATATGCAAAGTTGGACGAATCTCGATTGAAAGATGTGCTACGGAAGCTTCTTGTACCGTATCCTCGAATGTTTGTTTCTTCCCATAATGTCCAAGCAGTCCCCCCGAGCATCTGATTCCCTCTAACATCTCAATATCTGCATTTATATTGCACGGTAGATTGTCATCTAACTTAACTGCTGACTCAAGCGTGGACGCGAGGGGGGAAACTTTCACTGGTAAGCAAATTCCAAGGATGTGCATTCTATTATATTTGTATTCATTATCCGTCCATCTTTCAATGCACAATTAGAATGCGTGGAGGCTGTAGCTATCGTTGCGGATCCGTCACCGTCAGGCATCGTCAAGCAGACACTCTCGTCGTGGATACTTCTGCAGCACCATGATTTCATAAACTCATACTGAAAACGTCGTTGGTCAGTCCTTATATCCAACTTTTTATCAATTCTGGAAAATAGATGTCATTATATGATAGGTAGTTCGCGGTCTGAAGTTTGTGATTATTGTCTCCCACGTTTGGGTTAACTACCGTGGCGCTGACCGAGTCCTGTCTCGTTTTTTAAATGCCGCCAGCAACATCCGCGTGCTGGGTGAAGATTGTAGGTCAGTATACCTATCTTTATGGCTCGAAATTGTGATTCGAACGCTGGAACATCTCAAAGCCGTGCCCTTTAATATCTGTTCGGTGATCATTATATGTCACGTCGAGTACTCCCTGAGAGAAACAGTCATTCTGAGCTGGTGTCCACACTAAAAGTGAAGAAGTGGAGGCAAAAGGTTTACTACGAACTCCTTGATGATCGGTGTATGGAAGATGTAACAAGACCAGACAAGTATCAAGATCTTCCTGTAGCAAACCGGAGACAGCTCCTTATGCTCGAAGACGTGAGACATTTCATGCTTAAATGTAAATGCGATCGATGATAAACATGTTATCCCCGGTCGTAGTTCTACCTAGAGAAGTGCTGACCCATATTTTCGTCTCTTGCGTCGCCGACGCCGCAAAAATCAATTCCAAACGGCGCTCTTTTCGCCGTTGAGGACATGCGTTTGAGCCCTCGCCGAGCTCATGCAGCCGTTTGCCTCCGGAGTGTGTCAATCCTGGTGCGACGCTGCCCTCGACTATTCCATTCTTTAGACGAATATGGTAATCAATGAATATCCTGTTGTCAGCACTTGGATCGAGCGCACAAAGCAAGCACCCTTCACCGTCACGCTACCGGGTATTCAAGATGAGATGATTGTAATGAATGTCGCATGGTTCAAACCACTCGCGGGGATTGTTTCTCAAGAATTCGGGTGGATCGAAGGTATCCACATTGCTATTCACATAGACGATGGCGTCCACGCCTCCTCAACCCTCCTGCGCCGCTCCTTGAATACTTGACGATCTCTGCTGAGAAATATATCCTCTCTCTCTCTCTCCTTGACGTCTTGAAGCCTGAAAATTCTGTACACTTGGATAACTTCGGCTAAGGTACCACGACCTTGTTTGGATCAATATAACATCCGGTACACTGCGATATCTAGGGATATCACATCCCAGAGGATTCCCTACGCTTTTACCGATCTACATGCTGTACTGGAGGGATTTCTCTTTATCTTGCTTGTCCATCCCACCTGTCTTCCGTCGCTTCGTATCTTGGAGCTGAGTCTTTGCTGGGACTGCTCAAATGACGTCACAAAAAGCATGAAGTAGAATTCCTCTGCAAGTTAACAGTTATAGGATTGGTCGATATTCGACTTATCAAGTGCTCATGGTTGACTAAGTTTAGATTAACCATATAAAGCGACTGGTCAAGTCGGCCGTAGTCGAGAGTGATTTGGAGTAATGCTCCGTACGTTTGGTTTTCACAATTTCCGATCACCGACACACTCCAGTTCAGATCTTTTCATGGGTCCCATGGGCCATGCTGCCCTGGGGACTCGGTGCAAAGTTCTCATTGCATTTTCAACTTGAGGAGAAAAAAAGCCTACGCGGCTGGATCAGTGAATGGAAGCCCGTGCTGTCTATCTATTCAAGCTAGCGATCTATTTAATGCACAACTTTTCAAAATGCTGAATACGTACTTGGCATTATTGGCAGAGAAGATCAACGTGAATGCGAGTGCGCATTTTCAAGACTCGGTAAGAGTCCGCTACCTTCATAGCATATGCTTATATTGGTCTGGTTTACGTGAACACACTTGTCGAATCACGTACTTCTCAAACGTAGAGACGACTCACCCATCTGGGATCGGTGTTATCAGTGACGTGTGCGTTGAATCATACTAGTAGCAATATCGTCGAGCGAGACCTATGAACACGCAATTCTCCGTGCACATTGGGGACTCGAGAGGAATCGTAATGATACATTGAGATGTGACCGATTGATAAAACAGATTGAACTGTGTATGCGATGCTGCGCCGCAAAGCTACCAGGCTACGGTCATTTCAACTTTACTTGCCACAGTCAGATGATCAGGCATTGCCCACCCTCTGGACACAATCCAAGAGCGAGGAGGATCAATCACTAACTCCTGCTCAGCTCCTTAGCCAACCGCAAGTCTCCAATACAGTCGTTCTTCTCGCTTCTGATATGCCGACTCAGCGCATCCTTCCTGCTGAATCCCCTTGCGCATCCCCCAGTCAACAGTCGTCCTTTGTGTTCGTATGCCCGCCCTTCTGCCACCGCTTGACTGTCCGCAAGCACACCCCAACACTTCCACTTGTCCTGATTCGTGGTCGTCCGATGGGTTTCCATGTGTCTCGCCAGATCAGTCCGAGCCCCGCGTGAAGCCACAAAACTGCAGCCGAGCACCGTGCAAGCGGTCTTACCGTCCTGGACGGCCGTAGAGATGTCACTGTCTGTAACAGGTAGCTGGATATTCCGCGGCCGCGCGTTCCCTCGGGCACGGCGGTAAGAGGTATGAGCACGCGAGCGGGAAGGCGTGAACGGAGAATTGGGAGAGGAGGACAGCGATGAAGATGACGACGAGACCGAGAGCGACGGGGAGGAATAGGGAGAGAAACGATCGTTGTGAGTGGGTGTCCGTGCTACGAATAAAGAGGCAGAGGTGGGTATACCTCCGACTACACCACCCACGTTCTGATCATTGGTGTGTGGAGGGTGCAACGAGACCGGAGAGGAGATCAAAGTCTGATTGAGCTGGGTACGTAGACTGTACGTGGAGTGCTCTGCATCCATAAATTGAGATACTCCGCTGGGGGAGAGTTCGAATGCGAGAGGTCCAATGAATGAAGGCGATGAAGGGAAGCCATTGTAAGGAGTTGGATATAGAGACAGATGGTGAGGGTATACGGTTGGGACTGTGGTATCCGTCTTGATGCCAAAGTCAAGTCCGCTAAGAGGGTTGTTCGTAAGCTTTTCGTGCAAGCATACGAGATTGGAGTGACCCACAGAGAGTTGCTTGACAGGCCCACAGGCAATTGATTGACCGGCGCCGTTTCGTTGCCGTTGAATTTTGAAAAGCCACCCGGAACACATGGGATTACCTGGTCCGACCGGAGAGGCTGCTCAGTGCTGAAGAGCAGTGACTCTAATTGCTCGCCGATGTCCAGGTACGGCAAGTTATCTGCATACGAGGTGAACATCTGTGTCTGCGGCAAAGGAGGAAGAACACGTTACGTTGTTCATGACCACAATCAGAGGCAGTTTTATAGTCGGCAGGACCAGTTTCATTGTAGAA